GGGAAGTTAAGAAGATTTTATACTCAAGGATCGATGAGGAGGAAATAAATGGGTCATCATCTCATCTTTTCCAGGCAGTTCTCTGTTCCTTTTGGCTTTCGTAGAAACGTTATGTCAAGGTGCCTTGTATAATGACTTAGAGGATACTTTGTCCTCTGAATAGCAACAACAGCTCACATATTCTGCATATCTCATTCTTTGAATCTGTTGAAAACCTTAATGCCAGTTGAATACATTCCAGTTTGTGCCACTGAAATCCAGCTTTTGGCCCCGTGGAAAGCGAGAATTTTCATTGAATTACAACCTCCTTTTTCAGGCTCAGATCTCAACTCACGCTTACCACTATGGCAATTTTGTGAGCAGATAACTCACAATCGAAGAAAGTGAGGAGTGTAGATTAATGAAAAAAAATTAATGAAAACCTAACTGAGACAGCTCTGTTTCAGAGTTTTCTTTATGGTGGCGGGGTGGTGTGGGGGTGTTTTCATTTTTCACACAACTCACCATTTTCTTGCAAGGCTGTTCTCGGGATATTACACCAGTATGGCCGTGAGGTATTCATCCAACTTCTTTCCTTTACGTATTAATAATGTGTATGGCTATCGCTTTTTTTAAGTACAAGTTTTGCCACTGATAAGCTGCTTGACGAAATAACGTAGTTTTAGTCGAGGTTTGTTTTGGGGCATTTTTCTTGGGGTTATTCATTAGGGGTTGTCTATCGTTTTTATCTTTTAGCTGAACGTACTTAGTGACCACGAAAAAAGCCAGAGGGGAACTGTCTTCTTGAGCCTGTCGAAAGCTGAAGTCTGACACGAATCAATAACTATGACGATAGACGCAACATGTATGGAGGACGCTGTGTGAGCTTGCCAGCCAGTCTTTTCGGGTTTTTAAAATATATATGTCATGTGCGTGAGTTTGCCAGTATAAATGTGTGTATGCGTATACATGAGAGAGAGAGAGAGAGAGAGAGAGAGAGAGAGAGAGAGAGAGAGAGAGAG